TGACCCCGATGAGCCTGCCCTACCCCTACGTAAGTGTGTTTACTTGAAATTATGGAATTTCCGTAGATTATTGTCACTGAAGACTATGTAAAGGTATCTAGACGTACCTAAAACACTTTGCCAGTGTTTAAAAAATCCGTTTAGTTTAAATTTACCAACTACCGCTCAGTATTTTGATTCGAAACAAAAATACGCGGTATTTTATCGCACTGATAGCGATTTTTTTCTAATTATGCATATTAAATTAACCACACTTAAGGAAGAACTGTCGCTGCATAGTGATCTTTTTGAAAATTACAAGAAGTGTGTCAGTATAAAAAATCTATATAATATATAAACCGTTTGGTAAGCTTCACAAAATATCAAATATCACTGAAAAAATAATACAATTTAAGGCATAAAAAGTAATATAACACATATAACATGACACATATAGTCGTTCATGTAGTCGCAGATAAAGAGGAGTTAAGTTAATTGCAATTGCAATTGTTGATGTTTGGCACCAAAGGAATATTAGAGATGATGTCACAATGCTAATACAAAAGTCACCAACAACAAATTTGAGTAAATAAAAAAATAATCAGCGTCCTTGACATAAACATCACAGCAGATTTTGTACTAATGCAATATCAGAAAGGGTTAATTATTTAAGATGTGTTATTTAACAGAGAACATTACTTCATGTGCAAATCGACATTTCAAACAATCACATTTCACAAAAGCTGCTTTAAATGCATTAAGCCTATGAAACTAGGTCTTGGCGTAAATATGACTCAACATTGTCTAATACTATTCACGCTGGGATTTTACCATGACCGCTTTATTTTATACGACAAACAATTGTCAGCAATCAGTGTGAACCACGATATCTGCTGGCTTACATATTCCATGTTCTACATGTGACTGCAATTGAATTCTAATTTACTCGCAGCGGGATTTGGAGCTGATGCTGACATGGTTTCTGTGAGTGGGGTATCTGCTGGGTCGTATATGTCCATACAAATGCACGTGGCATACTCTGCAAGCGTCATGGGATCGGGAAATGTTGCTGGCGGTGAGTAGTATCAATTTTAATCCACCTGAACTCAAATGTTTGAACCAAACACACTGGTACACTGTTTATTGACAAATAGTCATGTTGATAATGTAATCTTCACACAGGACCGTACCACTGTGCACTTGGGCAGCACATTGACAGCAATAAGCGCGTGTATGAGTTCCCCCGAAGAGATAAATGTCCAAGAGTTAGTTGATTTCACATATGAAAAAGAAGCCACGGGGAAGTTGACCCTGTGTCCAACCTTGCCAATGGTAAAACCTTTATTTTCAGCGGAACTGAAGACACAACTGTTGATCAAGGTATTGTTTGTATAAAATTGTTTAGGATGTTTATATATACGTTTTCCGCACTGGGTAACTGATTTTTTCAACCATGTATTGAATGATTAACACGAGGCAAAGTATGGAATGTGAATACAGACGTGCTTTCATAGGGAGAATAAATTAGCAATACGTTGATGTAGCTCAACATTTAACATTATCTTATGTGCAATCCATCAATTGATTTGAATTACGTTAGACGCACCAATTAAAGTTACACTGTTGTTTATACCATATTAATCGCTATCGCAGGTGTGGCAGTTGCATTGGAAGATTACATGAAGGATTTTATGCCCGTGTCAAGCATCGCCACAGACTATAGTGTTGCAGCGGGACATGCCATGGTAAGATGACACGAATCAGATATATATTACAACCTGGGGCATTGTATATTTCAGTGTGTTTATGAAATATACATATCACATTAAGCATTTTCACAAATAAGACATGCATTTTATTGTATCAATAGATCACAGAGCATTATGGGAATATTTGCAGTGCAGAAAAAATGCCATATATCAACGACTGTGATTATCCTGCAGCATTCTATATATTAAACCATATCTATGGCGGTGGACTTAAGGTAAGCTGATTATTTTAACTACAATTAACGATATTTATACATCTTCTTCTAAATCATATCTCCTTTTCTGACTTCCATCCATACTTCGACATCTTCTCGCAGCCACGAGGATATCGTCGATCGCTCTTTTCTTGGGCCACATTAGTTCTCCCCTTGCAACAAAGATGTAACGTTAAAGGTTTTTGTTACACAGATGCCGGCGGAATGGGGCGTGGCTCTACCTGGCGATGTAAGTATCATAGAATTTTCCTTGCATTCTACAAATCAACGATTTGACGTACTTTGAAAATCAAATTACTGTTTACTTGAAAGTCTTTCTTTCATAAAAATCATTTCAGATGATGCAGTTTGATCAGACAGAGTTAATTCCGTCATACAGTGGTTCTCATAGTCTGGATGATATTGGATTCATCTATGTGCCGTCGGGGTGTAAAACAACACCAGGTAATATTAGTGCTCTGAAAAATTGTTGCGAGGAAAGATAAACAAAAATAGTCGACCGTGATAGTTAAAAGACATCACCAAGTTATACTGCACTTGTTAGTAAAGCCTCGTAACACACGTGGCTGTAATTTCATTCGTCTTGAATAAACACATATTGATGCTAGTATTTGAGCTAAATGTAGCGCTCTAATGTTTTCTCGTACAGGATGTAAACTTCATGTTGTTTACCATGGTTGTCTACAGGGAAGGTAAATATTTGGATTTCTTAAACATTATTATTGTCCTTAACAAACTCCCATGTTTGGACATTGTGTGACATCTTTGATATTGACAAAGCCGTCTTCCATAACGTAATGGTTTTACACATGCATGTTGATGTGAAGCTAACATCGGTTAATAACATACGAATTGGCGGCACTCAGAAGTTGTTGACAACTGAACAACGAATTCTTCAAAAGTACCATATTGAATTTCCAGCTGTACATTGAATAGCGTGTTCGTCACAGGTTTATGTGACGATTCAAATATATTTGTGTTTCTACAATTATAAGTTATAACGTTTTAGACATAATTTAGACGCCGAGTATGCAGTTACTACAGGTTACAACGAGGTGGGCGAAGACAACAACATAATAATCGTGTATCCACAATGTGAGACAAGTTTAGGTAATGGAAATGGATGTTTTGATTGGTGAGTCCACATCACGAACTTAAGGATTTCATGTCCTGTGACTACTATGTCACAACTGCACTCAATCATCCGTTTCGTCATATTTGACTGCAATGAAATGTAATTGCGTGACTCATATTTTAAATTGAGATGATATTCATTTAAACGCGTGTTTTTTTTTCGAATTAATGAACGGCAAACAAACAAATTCAACATCGAGTTTACAACCTAACCTAATCAATTTGATTGCGAGATTGGATGTATATTACACGTCTAATTTGTTAATGTATCGTTCTTACAGGTGGGGTTATACCGATGCCAGTTATGGTAAGTGATTGCTGTAACTAAAAACATAGAGAAAAGACATTCTTAAATATACTAAAAGAAGCGAAATGTATAATATATAAACAGTAGTTGGTGTCGCCCCATGCATGCGAGAGCTGTTTTTTTTAAGTTCATGCGGATTGTGTGTATGTCATTTATTTCATTTGTTTTATGTTGGACTTGTAAATTCTCTTCGACCACTGAAATATTTGATATAGTTTGTATATGTTTTTATTTCTACTTCTGTTTAATATAAAGTAAATCAACCAATAGAACATCACGTTCTGAATAAAATAAATCGGAACGCACTTATTCTCCAGTCGAGTACTAACCTGCTATTTAACATTAATAACCGGTGCCATCACAGAAATATGAGAACCTTCTCAACCTATGCGCATATACATTGCCTAGCTAATTTCTAACTGCACATTTTCTTCCAAACCAAGATTTCTAGATGACAAATTATACAGTTAGAACAGTTCTCTTTTGCAGATTTAATGTTCTCACATTTGTATTTTGTATTGAAAACGACAGATCTGAAGGCAGGAATACAGATGCAATTTTCGAAGAACATCATAGATCGATTAGTATCGGAACATCACGCATGCAGTACTATTCGTAGTAAGATGGCACAAAAACCATGCCTCGGTGCATCGGCTCCGCCTCCGACACCTCAACCAACGCCAGTGTATTGTTAGAGAAAACACAATTGAGTAAATATACGAGAGTGAAACTGATGTGACAAATAAGAATCACATTCCACTATTAATGATTCATTTTTGTTGTTGAATCTCCCGCAAAGAAATAGAAAATACTTGATTAAATGTTATTGATGAACTCCGTGTTGTTGTATATCATTTACCATTCAGGTTTAATACAGCCCACTATGAAACACACAGACCATATTCATTGATTTAAGTGCCGTACATGATTTGGCAAAATATTATTTGTTAACTTTATCTGCTGATCATTCATAGTCTCTAGCTAGAATAAACACGTTTCCAGGTACGAGAATTTAGTAAGTAGCACGGTATGTTAAGTGTGTAGAATTTTATTTTATTTTATTTAACTTTATTTAACATATTGGTGAATCATGTACCCGTGGTCCTCTAACTGATTTACTGGAACTGTCTCGGCAGTGAAGTTAACACAGTTATAATTATGTCACTCGATTTCACAGTCTATTTTGTCACACGTAATTATCGTATCGGTCTCTTCACAACCGAACATGCAAACTGAATTATCTGTAGTCATCAGTTCCTGCTCGATACATTTGATGTTCGCCAAATGTTTGGCCAATGTGTACCAATGGGCAACTTCTGTGTATGTTTGCGCTGTGACGTCATCGCGAACAATGTTGACTTTAACGGCACATAAATATGCAAAACAAAACATTTACGTCCCTGTCCTGCATTTTCTTTAATGTTTATCGACAGTTTCCTGTACTTCATCAGGGTCTACGGGTGAACAGAGCATTTTTTATTTGTGTAATGTGTCCTTAAACTGTAGAGGGTGCACTAGCCAGCAGTTTCGTTAATTTACATTTTACTAACAATGTTACTGACTTCACACGTCGTCCTTACTTATTATGAAATTGAGATGCACATCATCAGAGAGTTAATAAAGAAAACAAATCTTATTGAAGATACGCCGAGATTTCAAAAACGAAAGCGAACATAGCTTGCCAGAAGCCTATGTCGCCTAACTAAGCTTTATATTGACGAAAATGTGTGTACTTCGGACACGGTTCCATGCAATGTGACCAGACACCGTGCTATCACACAGAAAAAAAGGCACTAGTATTCCTGCAATATCCGCCCGAAACAGAGAACAGATCACCAGTAATCAGCATTACGGTCACGCCGACATTGACAACTATTCAATCGAAATTCTGGCATATATACCAAAATGACACAGTTAAAATGTGCTTGATAATGTGGATACAAATAACGGATTAGATTTGTAAGATATGTACTTGTAGGATATAAATCCCATATTGTGTCTCATGATTGTAACTAACTAAGAAAGGTAATACATTAAATCGGCATAAATAGTTTAATCATCTTCAATATTAGCATCTAAAAATCGACAATATTATTAATTGTTACATTACATATTGTAGATATAAACTAAATGACGAGTATACAATTCGTGCATACATGTAATTTGTCCTCAGGCGGTTACACATATTGGTATTGAATTGTAATGTTTTGACTGGAAAGTTCATAAAACCTCAACAATCATCGATATTCTCACTTAACGTCCGAGAAATTGCTGAAATACATAATGAAATGAAAGAACTGTTTCTCATTGTCGTATTCTTATATGTCGACTACAAAGTTGTCAATAAACTCTAATTTTATTATCTCTGTCCCTTACACTTTAAATATCTATCAAATTACTGTTCCAGAGGGAAACAGTGCGCGACAATATACAACCAATTTGTCATGTTTGCTGTCAATAATTGCCTAACTCATTGAAGAGAAAACTAAGGTTTTATAGCGATCCCGCTTGACTTGACGTGTAATCTTGCTTGTCGCGGGTTTTGTCTGCGCTGTTTGGCTCTGTGCTTCTTTTGATAGACCGTATTGGCCCAAACCGCCGATCGGTTCTGTCAGAAGTACTCACAATTGCCGATATTTCTTGAAACGATGTTGTGACGCCACACGAGTCGTTTATTTACTGTGACACTGTTGTTTCCTTTCACGCATAAATATCCGGTTCAGAATGCGTACCTTAGTCAGAGCGCCATCACACGGTACATTTCGCTAACGGTATTGTCATACTTGTAATAGTATGCACGAGCATAGTAATACAGATATTATTTATCTTTTGATTTTCTAATATCCGCTAATTTGAAAAGAAGTCTTTCGAGTTAATGTCGGTGACGTACCTCGGGTTGGGTACGCGTTCATAAATTTTAGTGATACGTGAATGTGCTCGGAAGTGAACGTACGGGAGCATCCATACGAGAGCAAATTATATTTTGCCTATATAATAACAGAAGACAGACTGCAAACTGCCGTAATTTTACAAATAATACTAGACTCCCTCTTATTTTTCTTATTATTTATTTTTTAAATATAGTTACCGGCATTTTGTTTTATTACCTGGAGTCAAAAAACGGAATAATTCAACGGGACATGTTATACTTGTTTTTGATATGTATTAAGTTTGCTCAAATAAGTTTAATGAAAATATTGTGTTTATATTTGTGAATAGATAGCTATATTAGGTAATATGCCAAAAAATTGGACCATGAACAATTTTTTGAGTTGCGTTTTATCACACTGGAAAAGTAAGGAGCGTTAACTCACTATTTCGTATTGTATTGAGTGTATGTATCCAACAATAAGCCAAAGGTTAATAAGCCAAAAGCGTTTTGGGTCACTCTTACTTTGTCAATATACCAGTAGAGGGCGTTATATGAATTAGAATTTTTACTACCAATGACGGCCAAACGTTTATTTAAATCGTATTTTTCTAACTGCCTATTATTGACTATGACGTTTGGTTCTATTATTCAAATTCAAGTTTCGACTCATTTATTAAAAAAAAAAAACGCCACCTCGATGAAGTTACCCAGAAGTCACGGTAAAACATGCCTTTTGTCTCACCAGCGGTATCTACAACATCAACTGCGAACACAAACACAAAACAGGCATTCTATAGACTATTTTAATGAAGCAATAGCAATAATTTTGTTCAATAATTTAGCACAATTTCTTGTGCATAATAACTTATGAACACGATTTATACTAAATTTAGTTGAAAACGCCCTCTAGCGATCAATGGCTATTCGAAACAATGCAAATGATGCGAGCAACAAACATAACTTGGTAGGAAGTTTTGAACTATTTGATTGGATTTCAATAATTTTTACTAAAATGCAAAATTAGTACTTGTTTTGAAATCAAAAACGATTTAGACAACTATTACACATGACGTTGAAAGTTCTCCCCCGCATTTCACGCCATGTACTATCCTACAACATGCTATGACAAATAAATTAGCAGCAGTTCAATTTGATAAGGTGATGACCCATATATAGTTCGGATAAATTTGTATATTTGAGTGATATGTATAAAATATTAACGCAATAATATGTCCGGCTAAAATTTTCCTTTTCTACAGAATAATTCAAAATATTAACGCCCTCTACGGGCAACTATATGGTATACAGTCGATAATTAACGACCGAGGATCGTAATATGTTAATAATTGCCTAAGTTCAAACTAAACACAGACAGCATGTATGAATCGATAAACGCTGTCACGAATTAGACCGTTTATGTCTGTTGATCTTACCAGATTTTACCATAATTTCATTTAGCGGATATGGTCACCAATAAATGGGCTTATATTTATTATTGAAAGTTCATTAACTTTGTTTTAAGTAAATATCATGAGAACTTCAACGACATTATTGAATGAATATTCATAACGTGGACGGGACTTTGTAACCAGCGCAAAGTTAATTGTTGACACAGTATAGCTATGCTATTACTATTTTTAGCATTACAGATAACAGTAGGTAAACACATGGCGGGTCTTTATATGAACACATACAGAGGCACAGTTATAAGGTAGAAAATACACGAACCGAACCTGATGGTTCGGACGTCTAAGATGTAGAAATTATGGCAAACATTCCATATTTAATCCTAGTATTATAAACTTTATAGTCTAGATAAACACACATTATACGGCGTTATATTTGTTTCAAATTCTCGTGTTTTATAATACCAAATCGTATGCGTTATTGGAAATAGTTTTTCTACAATATATCTGCATCCAGCAACACGTTTCTGCCAGATTATCACATACAAATTGTATTTTAATTTGGTTCAAAGCGCCCCTAACGACAATTGTCGGTATATTGCCCTTTGCCTTCAAGCGGTCAGAAGCAGCTGTTGATTTATGTTTTTTTATTTCCGCGTTCCTATAAGATAAGATAAGATACATAAAGGTGAAGGAAAGATGCACGTCGTGACTGACAGACAATGTAAACAAACATATTTGAACAATGATATTTTTGTCAGTTGCATATATGTGTAAAGACCTGTTAATAAGATCATATACCGCCTAGTCGTGTATGTATTAGTTTTATATATATTGAAATAATTACATAAGGCGTATAAAAGATAAATTAGTGACATGATTTGTTTCAACTGTAGTGTATTAATTTATACTTGTAACATCGTAAACATTTGTGACCGAGGATGCAGCAAAGAGCGTGCTTAAGCTCGCCAACATTGCTCTTATCCTCGTTTCACAGACCACTATCACTTATGTGTATATTCTTATAGTTGATGACATACACATAGTAATATATAATTGAGAACCATCATAACATGTGTAATTTTTTTCATGTAGCAAAATTTATGAAATCTCCCTCTAACGGGTAGTAGATCAAACTGTACGATAGCGCTAATGATTTACGTGATTTTTTCGTGTTTCTACCCAGCTGCCTCCTCAAATAATATGGTTGGAAATACAGCTATGTTTGTCCACACTCAACCCCATCAAGATAACATTACACTATAATATGTTTGAATTATAACTTATATTTTAAGATCAAATATGTATGATACCACGACGCAATGTGTTGCTCACCTGTACCCCCATATTGTGTACGCATGAACTTTGTTTATCGGTACACATCAATAACCAGAGCTGCAATAACGCACTTAAACGG